TTTAAGACCTAACAATAAAGCTGTATATTAATATTCCTCATCACTACAGACACACAAAATCTTTAACAAAATGCCAGAAAACCAAATGCAGCACCATGTAAAAGTAAAGATTACTTACCTTGACCAAGTAGCATTTATTGCAGGAAGGCAAGGTGGACTTACCATCCAATAATCTGTTAATGTGCCATACTAATTGAGTAAGGACATAACCCATATGATCATCTCAAAAGATGAATAAAAAACATGTAACAAAATCCAACACACATTTATGACAACAATTCTCCAAAACCTAATGAGGAAACTTCCTCAACTTGGTAAAGAACATTTATGAAAAACAATCTGCTAACATCACACTTAATGATAAATGCTTTCCCCTAACATTACGAACAAGGCAAGTGACGATATGTGTTCTTGTCACTTCTAGTCAACACAACTGGAAAAGCTAGCCTGTACAATAAGGGTGTGGTGGGAAGAATTAAACGCTTTCAGATTGAAAGGAAAAAGCGGAGCTGTCTTTATTTGCAGACCACATAATCCTGCACGTAAAAACTCCTAAGGAATCCAACATACAAACAAAAAACTTACCAGCACCAATAAGTTCTTCAAAGCAACAGTATACAACATTAATATACAAAAACCAATTGCATTTCTATATTCTCAGCAATAAACAACCCAAAAATTAAATCTAGGAAAAAACTCCATCAAAAATAAGATCAAGGGGCTAGGGATGTAGCTCAGTGGCAGGATATAGCTTAATGGTAGCCTAACATTCACAAGGCCCTGGTTCTATCACCAGTACCACATAAAAACCCAAACAAAAAAGAATAAAATACTTGGGAATAAATTTAACAAAAGAGGTACAAGCCTTATACAATGAACATTACAAAACTACAAAGAGAAATTAAAGATCTTAATAAATTCAAGCCCGTGGATTCTAAAGAGTATTATTAAGAAAACAATTTTGCCCTAATTACTGGTCTACAGACCCACTGCTCCTAGTAAAATCCCAGCAGGGTTTGTTTGTTCTGGTAGAAACTGACCAGATAAACCTACAATTCGTGTTAAAAAAAAAAAAAAAAGATTCATAGTAGTCAGTCTTAAACTACTCAATTTCAACACTTACCATAAAAGCTATAGTAATCAAGACACTATGGTACTAGCATAAGAAGAGATATACAGACTAACAATAGGAATGGGAAGTCTGGTGACTAACCCTTACTTTTACAATTAATGATTTTTGACAACTGTGGCAAATCAATTCAATGGGAGCAAAGGATAGTCATTTTTAACAAATGGTGCTGCAACAACTAGATAGCTATATTCATGAAACTGAATTTAGATTTGTAGGTAACAATATACATAAATATTAATTCAAAATGAATCATAGTCTTAAATATAATAATGAGAAAAATGAGAAAATTTCTTAGTAGAAAATCTTTGTGCCTGGAGTATAGGGTATTGATTTAACATTGGAGCAGCCATCTTAAATGTTAACCACCATCTTATGAGTTAAGTTTTGCTTTCCTATACTTCCTCTTACTGGAACTCCCCCACTCCCATTAGTGACCTACCCCATGGTGTCATCAGCCAAGCCAATCCCATGCTATTCCCATCAGCCTAGCTCTGATGCAAGCACCTTGAGCCTATCCCATAGCGCTACAAGTACAACTCCAAACCCCTACCCCACAAAAGCTGAACCCCGAAACATCTCAGGGCCTCTCTCCTCTGTCTACAGAGGGATGGCCTTTATTTGTCAGCTCTCTTTTCATGGAGATTAGGCAAAGAGCTCTTTGGTACAATCAATACCAAAAGCATGATCCACAAAACAAGAAATTGGAAAAGTTGGACTTGACCAAAATTAAAAACGTTTGACCTTAAGAAACACCATTAAGAAAACGAAAAGGCAAACCAGAGAACAGGAAAATATTTGCAAATCATAGGCCTGGGAGAGTTTTTGAATGAACATTTCGCCAAAGAAGAAAACAAATGGTCAGTAAGGAAAAGATTCTCAAACTCATTTTTAACATCACTACCTCAGGGAAATGCAGTGAAAACATTATAAAAATACCACTTCACACCCTACTAGAATGGCTACAATAAAAAGATGTTCAACAGCAGGCACTAAAGAAAGTCCTCACCTGCCACTGAACTGTACATTTAAAAAGTTTAAATGGTACATTTTATGTATCACATTTTGTTTACCACAATTATAAAAGCAAAAACAAAGCTAGGGACAGTGTTACATGCCTGTAATGACAGCAACCTGGGAGGCTTAAAAAGGAGAATCGAAAAGTTTGAGTCCAATCTCAGCAACTTAGCAGGACCTTCTCTCAAAAATAAACAAACAGGGCTAGGGTGGTGACTCAGTGGTACAGTGCTCGCCTAGCATGTGTGAGGCCCTGAGTTCAATCCTCAGCACCACATAAAAATAAATAAAGGTACTGTGTCCAATTACAACTAAAAAATAAATAAATAATAAATAAATAACAAATGGCTAGGGATGTAGCTCAGTGGTAGAACATACCTAGATTCAATTTCCAACACTGAAATTTTATATATATACACACACATACTATAGACATATATACATGTATATGAAAATAAAATTTCAGTGTGTATATACATATATGTCTATATCTCACATACATATGTCTCACAAAGAAAGCCTAGCTTTATATGGCTTTGCCAGTAAATTCTATCAAAACTTTAAAGAATAACAATTTCACATAATTTGTTCTGGAAAAACAGAAGAGCAGAAAACACCAACTTATTCTATGAGTTCAATTTACATGTGCACTTAAAGGCATCATTATTTTCAGAAAATGCATTATATTTAAGTATAGAAGACATAAGGTACTAGGACCTTGAGAACTGTTCCAATTCAGACTTTGTTACCAACTAGTTGTGTCTTCTCTGTCAAGTTACATCATCTTCTTGGGCTTCAGTCTTCTCATTTGTAAACAGGAACGTACATCAAAAAAATCTTTTTTTTTAATCTATATGTTATACTATTACACAAAATTTTATTTGACAAATCCTAAATTGGTATAATCATCTGGCAAACAATACAGCAATATATACTAAGAGTCCATCCATACGCTGGTGAATCATGTCCACTTTTGGCTATTTATCTCAAGCATATCATCCAATCAAAGTGAAAAAAAACAGGTATGAAGATGGTCACTTTAACAACCCATATGTCCAGCAAGAACGAAATATCATACACATCTTTTCTATTTATATTTTCAAACTTTCATAAAGTATATCAGGAATTTCATAAAAAATTGTTTTCAGTGAATTATTCTTTTTTGCTATGGTAAGTCATTAAATATAGCATTTACTCTTACAAATGGAAATGTCTGAACATTTAGAATATTGACATATTTCAACTTGCAGTCCTCTTTATGTTTTTTTGGACTGGGTATGTCAACCCACATTATTCTGAATGGTATTAAGTAATGGCTCAGAAGAGAAATTCTTTGAAATTATTGGTAATATTTATTCATAATGATCAATTAAATTATTTGCTTAAGAAAACTGACTACTGTGCATAACTCTTTCTCAATTTGTATTGTGACTTTGAATTTGACATGAGTTGACAGAAGAGAGTCTTAGTCTACCTGTGGAATATGTTGGTTTATTTTCAGTACTTGAAAAACATGCAAAGATACTGGTTTGGGAAGTTACCATAAAATTTTTAAGTAAATAGGCATGCTGTAAATGTGTTTTTATGTTTCAATAAAGAGGAAATTTTTTTTTTTTGTGGGAGGGGAGATACTAATACAAAGAAACCTCAAAATTAACAAAAGCTAGTATGAAAATACAGAAAATATTTCTTAGGTGAAAGAACCAGAATATAATTAATTTACACATTATATCAGTATATGTACATATTATATCAGTATATGTCAAACAGGCAATTTGCATGAATGAAAGTCCTATTAGGGTTGTGAATCTAAACTGTATTATTCTGAAATGTTGATACATATTATTATACATATGTATTCCCACCTACCCAGTGTGGAAAATAATATACAAAATATCAAGGGTAGATATTCCAGATATAATATTAGAGAGGTCAAAATCCTTAAGCCTATTTAATTGATCATCCTCATTCCCCTTGAGGTTCTCAATATTTCTCAACCTTTATTTTTAAGTGTGTCAATCACAAAACTACTATTTGAATTGTACAACCACTAAAGCTTCTCTCAATTAAGAATAGTGGTGTGAAGAGTGTGTCTAGTTTCTTGGTTTTTCTTCTTATTCCTATGGCCGCCTGATAAATGAGAATTTCACCAGGATCCAGTCTTAGTATTTACGAAGTGAGCACAACTCTAATAAAAGTAGGTTGGACCCTATGAAATTGTTTGCAGGTCAAAAAAGTTCATCAGCAATTTCACAGGGTTCAACCTATGTCAATATCTTTGTATTAAAAAAAAAATAAGGAAAATTTCCTAAGGATATAATTTACTTGCTTAAAGGCATTTCATGGTGAAATAAAAAATTTCATGAGCTTCTTAGATACGGTTTTATTTTGGTTTCCCTGGCCCTTCTAAGTCTTCTAAAGCTTTGTGGCTATGCTTTTTAGGTTAGGGGGGAAAAACATGAAATTTTCTTTATCATATATTTTATTACAGGAATATCTAGTAATTTTTTTTGTACGCTGGAGTGTCTTTCTATGTATTTTTTTCCCCTTCGAGACTCTAGAACTCAAGAACTCTTTTCATAACTTTCCCAACAGTGAGTACTCTTAAGTCAGTTGTTTTCGTAATTTTAAGCAACTAGTTTTTGCCTGTTTGCATTAGCAAGCTAAAGTCATAAGCAAAACCAAGTATTTAAAATCGGCCAACTAAAGAATATTAACATCACCCTGTTCTAACTCGAATTCTGCTGAAGTCTTGTTTCTCTTCATAAAACAATTAAGTTTTGGTGTCAACACTTCTAGAACAATGCTCCTTCCACATCCAATTGAAATCAGCCCCATTTTGAGAACATCTTACCTGAAACTACCATAGACTATAAGAAGAATGGATATCAGAAACGTAGACACTTGACTGGAATCCACCAGGGAATAGGCCCTAGAGAAATAAAGAGGGAAAAAATTAAGTTATATGCAGCAAATCCTCATGGAGCTTACAATCTGTGGTCTTTAAGATGACAAATATATGAAAATTAAAACTAGCAAAATAACATTAAAATTAAAGTGTGATTTGCTAGTTCCACATGAGGAATAAATAGTAAGTTCATAGTTATTATAGTTAATATTCACAGGATATTAAGTGATAGACATCTAAGTAAAAATTCCACCTCTTTATGATATATAATGTATTTGTAACATCCATTCTCAATTTTAAAGGTATCCAAATATCTACCAAATATATGCCGTCAGAAAACTCCATTTACACTGGAATCACTAGTAGCTAAAACCATAGCCTTTTTTTCTTTCTTTCTTTTAAATTGCTGATAGACTTTTATTTATTTATACGAAGTGCTGAGAATCAGACCCAGTGCCTCACATGTGCCAGGCAAGAGTGCTCTGCCGAACCCTAGCCCTAGCCCTAGCCCCAGCCCCCTAGGCCCACTTTTTAAATTTTGTGCCAGGGTCTCAGTAAGTTGGCCTCCTGAGTCACTTACAGGCGTGCATTTTTCCTGCTGCCTTGTGCTTTGCCTTACTGCCCCTTTGCTGCAAAATTCAGACCCAGAAAACTTCATGATACAGAGAGTACTCCTTTCTTTGTTTTAATTAAAACTTCCAATTTTAATGAACACAACTTTCAACCTCATTCTTGATATTCTCATTTTCTGAGTTACTAACTACAGCAGTATTTCCCAATGATTCATACTTGTTCATCTTATTTGACTTGAACTTTTTGAATTTGGAGTGAAATAGAAATAAATGGATGCCTTTACTCTTGCTTCTCTTTTTGGTTGATTAAAGATTTAATGAAAAAAGGAACATTTGAAACAATCTTTTATCACAGGTAAACCATGGGATCTCACAGGTAAATATCACACATGCCATGCCATTGAATGTTCAAGTCTTCTCTGAAAACAGCATTAGGAAGAAATGCATTTTGCAATTTTGGGAGATACACTTTATCTAGCCTAAAGGAATCATAAAAACATTGATATTTTACATTTTAAGTGTGCACAGAAATCATTCCTAGAAAATAACATCTTGGCAAATGTGAATACGTTAGCACAAACATTCTGCTATCCTGCAACAACTTTTTATGTTTCTTTCCCCCTATTTACCAGGGAACTGTTAAACACTTAAATTCTCTAAGTTTAGGGGCTTCTTGGCATCGATGCATTACATTTTCTGAATCACCCAAGCTGATTTCTTTAGAGGTTGCTCATAAGTTCAAGTAGAAATATATATACTTTCCTATTGGGTCTTTTAAAAGTTCTGGAGACAAAGAACCTATTAGCTGATGCTAAGCTAATAGTTAGGAGGTACTTAGAAACACAAGTTGTTCCCTTCACATTAACTTTCTTAGCTAGTAGTAATTTTTTCAGTCATTTTTATAGTAGGGGAGATAATTACAAAAATAGCAAAACTGGATTCTGAGTGGAATATGAACTCAAGTGAATTACACAGAGCTATATTGTCCAACACTGTAGTCACCAGCCTACATAGCTATTTAAATTAAATAAAATGAAAAATTCAGTCTGGCAGTTGCAATAGATAAATTTCAGCTGTTCAAAAGCTAGTGGCTACTATACTGGACAGCCAGGGAAAGAACATTTCCATCACTGCAAAAATTTCTAGTGGACAGCACTGACATACACAGGAAGACAGACATGTTATATTTCAAAACTGAGGTTCTGGAGCTTTACTGGTGGTAACACCAAAAATACTTAACATTTTTTTAAATTATTTTTCTTTTAAGGAAATCTTTTTTTTTATTTTTAGTTTTAGGTGGACACAATATCTTTATTTTATTTTTATATGGTGCTGAGAATCGAACCCAGTGCCTCACGCATGGTAGGCGAGCGCACTACCACTTGAGGCACATCCCCAGCCCCAATACTTAACATTTTACTGAGCATTTAATTCTTACACCATTCTACAAGGGAAGTACTACACTGCTACAATCCCTTACCTAAACAAAGAACCTTGAGAACTGATGTGTATAAGAACTAAAATAATAATTTTTTTGATTTTATAAAGAAAACGGGCTGAGGTTGTGGCTGGAGCAGTAATCTGTAATAACATTATTAATAAATAATAATTAATAAAGATCATAAATAGCCTTATTAATTTATGTCAGGTTTTGTTGAAAATGAATTACAAAAAAACTCTTTTTGAGTTTTCATAGTTATGGGTTTAGAGAATTACCCTTCTGTTTTCTGAAGACCTGGAGCAGGATGCAGTTCTGAATGTAGGCAGCCTAACTCCAGAGTCTCCCAAACTGACTTCCATCAAATTTGGAGTCAGAAAATGTGTGAGTTTCTATCTTTAATTATACCATAACTCGTGGTCTAAATTATCTTCTGGCCCCAATGAAATGAAGGCCCAATTAATTTTTATTTTCAAGGGTCCAAGTTTTTACATTGTGATTTTCTTCCAAAACCCAAAAATGTTACCAGGTTTACCTTCTCTTTCATTTTTCTGGTCACTCATTAAATCAGCTCCAATAAAGATGACACTGTTTCCATGCTATTAAAAATTGGCATTTTAAAAACCATCCAATATTTACAGATGTAAAACGGCTTATATAAATTCTACATTATACCAGCAGAGAGAGATGAATATGGGGGAAAAATATGAAGTATTTGGTTGGTTTAGTCAACTCATGGGAAATTCTTCTCTTTGGTCACCTTTAAAAAGAGAGTTTTTTGTTTGTTTGTTTGCCAGCTATATAGTCTAACCTACAAGCTTCTCACCCTGTACCAAATAGTTTGCTTTGATATTTGTATATAACCTTGGGTCTCCTGGAGTAGGCTTTTTTTTTTTTTTTAACTCTACAGGCTCATAAAAAGAATAGCTGTTTCAAATCTCTAAGGGTTTTCCTTTTCAATTTTTTATTTTTTAGTTGTAGTTGGATACAATATTTTTGTTTATTTATTTTTTAATGTAATGTTGGGGATCGAACCCAGGGCCTCGCCTGTGCTAGGCGAGCACTCTACTGCTGAGCCACAACTCCAGCCCCATAAGGGTTTTGTTTTTAATATTTATTTTTTAGTTGTAGTTGGACACAATGCTTTATTTTATTTCTTTATTTTTACGTGATGCTGAGGATTGAACCCAGGACCTTGCACGTGCTAGGTGCGCACTCTACGGCTGAGCCCCAGCCCCAGCCTCTGTCTGTCTAAGGGTTTTCTTGCTGGTAAGAATGGGGAGTAAAAGGACTCCTTCTGTTACCTGTCTCTATTCTTTTCATCCATACAAATAATTGAAGTAAGAGTCATCAGCACTTTAGAAGTACTCACAGGTTTTAGGACTTTTACTACAGGAATCAAAATCTGGGGTCTAGAGTCTGAGCTCTGGGGTAAGACTAAGATAGATGGGGTAGGTGGGGAGGAAAAGGAAGGTAGTCTAAGGAAAAGGATGAGCAATCTGTCCAAGTCTAGGATTCAAGAAAAGCCTAATAATTGTATTTCACACCTTCTTTATTCTACACTTTAGACTCTACCAGAGCATCAACAGAAATGTGCTATTCTTCAGATGCTCTTACTGAGGTTGTCTATTCTCAGAAACTCTGAATGCATATTAAAAACAGGAACAAATGCTATTTTCTGAAATAAAAAAAAAATCCTTACTGAAACGTAAAAAGAAACTAAATACATGCATTACAGACATACCAAAACCAGTTAGCCAAATGTACTTTAAACCGACTTGAAGACTTTGTCAAATGATGTATCGGTATAGGTTGAATGTTGAAGTGTTTTATGTGGTCATTATGAAAACCACCAATTTTTTTTACTATATTCCCCCAAGCTTTACCTTAATAGACAAATTCAAAAAGCTACCAGAAAGTCCTCTCATATCCAATACTATACTATACACCCTACGATTTTTAGAACCAGGCTGGATTTTAGTAATTCTACAGTCAAACATCTATTTCTAGCTGTTTTACTAGCAAGTGCTTATAAAACATATCCTGCTAAAAATCATGCCAAACTGAGACAAACAAAGTACTGTTTTAGAACATGTTCTATGTGTCAGTCTTCCAGCTATACAATGAAGGCATTATTGTCCACTCAACAAACCAAGCTACTACTATTCCAACCCTGCACAGATATTGCCCTTGACCAGCACTCCTCAAACTTTTTGGCTGTGGAAAAACTGAGACCCGCTAAGAGCTTTTGTTCATGTGAGTTATAGTCAGTGATATTTACCATTTAAAAAATTCAAACTAAAAAAATTTAAAGATATTTGTTGACTTATTTATTTACAATAAAACTACTGTTAACATAATACTTCTAAAGGAAAAATAATCACACTTAAAAAATTAGATAAGCATAGAATTCTTTTACAGCTCTGCAAACTTTTTAAAATTTTTAGTTGTATAGACACAATACTTTTACTATTTAAAATTTTTTTTTGTCATCCATGGACATACATTTATTTATTTATTTATTGTGCTGAGAATCAAACCTAGTGCCTCATACATGCTACACAAGTGTTCTACCACTGAGCTACACCCCCAGGTCTGCAAACTTCTTTAATGTCTGATTCTATATTCAACCTGTTGTCATATGTTGCTCAGGTGGAACTTTATGAGGTAAAATATGGCCTTACACATATGGACAGTGGAAAACAGAGTATTTTAATAACCCTTTCAACTAACTAAGGATATTCTTTGATACTACACTAAAATCCAAAAAGGGATAATTTCTTAAAGGTGGAATCTGTGGAATCTGAAACCATATCATTGGATTTTTAAAAATCATATTACATTAAAATCCACTGGACTATTCTGTACTTTAGATGATACTTTCACCCAGGAGTGATTCCATAACATTGTACATTGGTAATCTGGAAGCAAATGGTTCACTGAATCATTCAGCTCTTCTAGGTGTTGTCACTTTTCACTATACAATATCTGGAAAATCACATTTGTTAATCTCG